GAATTGATTTTGTTATAGAGAGAGTGCATATTGCACATGCTAACTACTTAAGCTAGGGTATTAATAGGATATTAAGCTATGGTTAGCGCACTATGCATAAGTGATATATAGAAATATTTGTATAATGTATAGGATATGTCAAAAACTCTAGAATGGAACCCGCACCATAGGTATTAATAGGGGTTGCTAACAAGCCAACTCAACTCCACTCGTGAAAACTTTTAAGTTAACGAGCTAGCTTAGCTCGATTCATTGATATAACGAGTTAAAAATGCAACTCGACTCGACTCTTTAAAAAGTCCAAGGTAATTCATTGAACCATTAAACTCGTTACATCGAAATACAAGGTTTAAAATTCACGTGCAGTATGATTTGTGAAGCTACAACCAATAATATATGATTGACATGCTATGTATCATGACTCATAAGATTGTGCTGCAATGAATAATTATGAGTTTAAGACCTTTACACCACTAAAATATGGACAATTAACTTCTATCTTAATGCATTATAAGCTTGTTGGTATTTGTTGCGATCACATATAAATCTGCAAGCGTACGGATATCGTTATCACATTTCACCAGTGAGTATTTAGGGTATTGTTATTTGTTTTTCCAAAGGGAAGATGGCGGTATAAAGAATAGATCAATACGTTCATAATCATAGTATATATCATGAGTAATATTTAATAGCCTAGCAAGGATAAATGATAATAATAAGAACAAGGTAGTGTGACACATAAAAATCATCTCTACAAATAATAAACTACATTATGAAGAAGGACAACAGAGAGTTATGGTTTCATATGTACTTTTACACTTACAATGCTTAGATTATACTCAAACATACATATGCTTATATAATGTTAGGACTTAGTTCTAAGCATCTAGTCACTACTGAAAGACCACTCTTTACTGTGCCAACGTGGTTATAGCATTTTAAGAACTCTTACGTCGTACCCGAATATGAAGGATTACAAAGAATGAACATGACTGTCGCCACCTGCCAGCTACCTCTATAACCCATGGGGCACACCTGCTTCCAATGACATTTAATCAACCTAAGTACCATGCATACATTACTAAATAATACAACTAATTCCCCCAGAACTACCATCCTTCGGATGGATAAGTTAGATCTAGTGCAATCCATTAAGATCATTGGACCGATGTAATGTCATAGATCAACAATGCTAAACAAGTGAATCATATGAAAGAAATATAAACTACTCATTGAACATATAACTATAAAAGCAATATATGAACTATGGACACTAATAACTAAAGAAGATAATTTCATTATTAAGCTCATAATCTTACAAAGAGAGAAAAGTACTAAGGACATATCTGAATCTCTGTGGATACTAGGAAACTGAAGAACTACTCTAAGCCTAAACTCCACTAATCTAGAGAGTAATACAAATGAGAAATATAGGTATTGCTTCTTTAGTGTGTTGTGAAGTGAGAGCTTCTCCTCCTTTTATAGCCTCCAATGACAGTTGCAAATATCGATTTGTGAAGTAGGTTCACCCATAACGGAACCAATTAGGAGCCGCCACGCGGACGGTGGTGGCGAGGGTGCCATCCCTGGTTCGGCTGAGCCAGGGCAACCACCTTAGCCCACCGACCTTTTCCCAAAGGCTATCATATGGGTCTCTAGGACAATGCACGATGGATTGGCCTAAGATATGTCGGTTTGGTTTGACTTATAGGCCCTTCATCCTTGTGCTCTCTCATTATTAGCCAAAAATGTGTTTCTTTGTATGTCAGCGCATTTTCTCCTTCACTTAAGTATGTAATCCTCGCGTCCATAGTATTATCCAACGACAAACGGAACTACATTATTTGAAACTAATATACATGCAAGAAATGCTATTTTCCTTTTATTTATCGAGATAATTGATGGTCAAAATTGAGTTCACCTAAATATTGCTGGTGTAATCTGGTACAGAGACTTAAGTTGAGTTTGAATCGGCAGTCAGGCTTAGATTTTAGTGGCATACAAAATAAGACAATTCATTAGCACATAATTAATTGAGTATTAAATATTATAAATTTAAAAATAGAGTTATTTGATTTTTAAAAGAACTTCTATATAAAAAGTATTTTGAAAATACATCACTTAATAGTTTTGGAAGTGAAGAAGGAAAATGCAAACTCATTATCAAACTCGGCTATGTTCAGGAGAGCGGTTTGGCAGAAACTTTTTATGGCACGCGAAACGAGGAAATCATTAGTGTATGATTAATCAAGTATTAATTATTACAAATTTTTTTTAAAAAATTATGTTATTGTCAGAAGAAAACTTTTATATATAAAACTTTTGCACTAAATATGCCGTTTACTTTCTCTGTTTCATAATGTAAGTCATTCTAGTATTTCTCACGTTCATATTGATGTTAATGAATCTAGACATATATATCTATCTAGATTCATCAACATTAATATGAATGTGGAAAATGCTAAAATGACTTACATTATGAAACGGAGGAGTAGCAGCTTAACAAACGTACTTACAACGAGAAAGTAGCTGATCCGATAATCTGTTAGCAACGCAACCTAGGCCTCCCTAAAACGGAGCAATTTTGTGGGAAGTGAACTATCTCCTGTTAAATCCATGGGATTGAAAGGAGTTACAAATGAAGTTAGGACCTCTTGCCCTCTGATTCTATACTACTGCTCTTTATGCTGCACTTAACCCTAAAGCTGTTATAGGCTGTGTTTAGTTCCTTCTAAAGTTGAAAGTTTAGGTTGAAATTGGTACGATGTGACTGAAAAGTTGTGTGTGTATATGATATGTTGATGTGATGGAAAAAGTTGGAAGCACAGCCATACAAACATGGGTGATGTGCTTCCAACACTAGAATCCTTGCTGGTGAAAGAATAGGGATCTAACTGCTGCTACTGGTAATTTAAGTGTCCACGTGCATGACTAATAAGATTACTCAAAAAATATTATTTTATTTTAAAATATAACCATTTCTATCATGATATTTTTTTTCATATATATAATCAAATATTGTTATATTTCAAAGACGTAGGGAGTGAACAGTTAGTTGGCATGGTTAAATCTATTGTGCTGGTTCATAGCCATCCTTCAATCTATAGTTGTCGAAGACTCACATGCCATCTTCTTCGTACCTACGGCTGGGTTCTTTTCAGATGTTTGCAACGGCTAATTAGTCGTACGTAAAACAAGAAACGTAATTAGTATTTGATTAATTAAATATTAATATACAAAAATTTCATGAATAAATTTATTAGATTTTTTAAACAAAAATTTCACGTAAAATACACCGTTTAACAGTTTGAAAAGCGTACTAACGGAAATCGAGCGGTAGTTAAGCTGCAATAGCTGAAAAGAACACAGCCAAATTTCGTCCAAAACATCTGAACTTTTTTATAAGTCGTTGCTGCACATGCCATCTTCTACCTACCTAAATTTCACTCAAAACATCTGAACATTTTTTTGTAGGTGGTTGCCGCACTTTTGGCGCAAATTTGTGGCAACAGTGCCAAAAACACAGCTACACAGTCCACTACAGACAAGACAAGCAAAAAACCAAACATTCAGTTCTTCTCTTTCTTTCTTTCCTCCATCCATTTGGGAGGCTTTTACCGCGCCAGTCGCCGTCGCCGTCGCCGACGCCGACGACGACGGGTAGATCCAGCTACACATGCGCCGGAGTGACTGCAGCCTCTGACAAGGGTCACACTAACTGACGCCGCCGCCGCCGATCTCTCTCTCTCTCTCTCTCCTCATTCCGGCGAGCCAAGCACAGGAAGGGAGTGAACCGCGTTCAATGCGATCGGGCTTGATTGATTGAATGAATGAAATCGAACGATCGATCGTTCTCCCCGCGCAGCTGCGCCGTCGCAGAGCCTCATGATTGGGTTCTGGCCGGCCGGCGAGCGGCGGCGCCGTTCTTGCTGCAGAGCAGAGCAAATGGATCGAATCGTCCTGAAATTCCATTCTCGATCCTGACAAGTGACGGCAGTTCTTGATTTCATGGCCAGTTGTACTGTGCGTACTACCTTCTCTGCAAGATTTGATTGGGGCCTCACTCAGAAACTCTTCTGGATGCAACTGCAATCAAGTTCAGAAACTCTTCTGGATGCAAAAATGATTATGGTATAAAATTTTGTCACACTAAGATTCAATGTTGGGCACGTGAAACGAGAGATCCGTTTGAAAAATATATTTATTTTGTACTTTAAAGTAAACTCTATATATAAAGTTTTTGCACGAAATGCATCATTTAGCAGTTTAAAAAGCGTGCTAATGAAAACCAAGATAAAATATGTATCTTAATCAGGAAAAAAAAGGTTTGAGTACAGAATTTTTGGATGTAAGCAATTATGAAATGAATCTTATTATACCTTTTCTTTTTATTACACAAAAGACACATACATACACCACGCATGAGTGTGCCACCAGATACACGCTAAACCGTTGTAATAAAAATTTATTTATTTCTTTTTTTTAAGGATGAAGGCAAAAAATGTAACTGAAGAAGCACTAGAAAACATTGAAAACCAACTTCGAACCCTGAATCCAGGGATCAGTCCAGCTGGTTTTCAGAAACCATGGGTAGGATGCAGCTTTACCACTGTTGTTGTTTCTGCATTTCTAGCTCAATTAACACAGGCATTAACAAGTGATTTTTTTGAAAGAAAACAGTAACATATGTTTTACTACACTAACAAATTCTGTCAGTTTCTTTCAAAAGAAAACCCAGCTTTTATTGGAGAGCAGCCAAATCCAGCGCTGCTAATGGCAGGATGCAGTGAAGACGTTCTTGGTCCTGCACAATACAAGGACCACTTTGCCTTGCTTCCTTCCAAATAACTGTCCTGAAATCTCTCACCATATGTTACTGTTACTCAAAACATTATACAGTAACAGCTTTAGTCTTTTACAAACCCAACAAACAGCACAAAGCCACAGAAAACATATGACAAGCACCATCACGCAAGGAAAAGGATGGATCACAGACAGGATTTGAGCTGTTCTTGGAATGATCCTGTTTCTTTGCCTGTTAATTGATAGGAATTCATCTTCAGACTTACACAAGACGAAAACATGTACCGGGAAGTAAAAAAAACAGGCAGAAGGTTTCAAAACACAATGTTAAAGCACCAAGAGACTACTGACATTATTTTTTTTGGGGACTCTAAATACTAGAAGATAAACTGGTTCAGCAAGCCCTGAGCAGGTCTAAAACTACTAAAAAGAGGAACTTCCTTCTGTCGAAAATGCCACATGACCAGGAAACACCGGTACTTTGTCAATTCCTGAGCTACTCTGTCCTTTGGAGTTTGATTGAGCTCTCCTGTCCTAGATCATGGTATGGAACCCGGCGGATTGCATCAGAACGGCCTTGATTTCTTCAGGCAACAGCCCAGGGCCGTCCTTGCATTGCTGCATTAAAATTGAGCAATTGTCAGTTCAAATTGAGTTTCAGTACCATCACCACTATCCTTCAGGATACTATATCGAAATGCTAGTTCTGAAAATGAGCATAGAATTTTATGCATTACCTCAGCCTTAAAAATATCCAACGTAAAGCCATTGAAGCAACTGATTACAGCTTGCTGGACATCGAGACCAAGGCCTTCGACGGCCCTCATGGCAGAGAGCAGTAGACCGGGCCTCCGAGCACAGAACATGTGGATATTGACAGCCCGGCCTTCCCTCAGCCTAACCTCAACCTTTTGCAAGATGTAGAAAAAAAGGTCAGAAAGTGTGTCAAATGCTTGATCAGGTTGGCAATAGTTAGAAAATCTGATGCATAAATCAACCACATTGCACATTTTACTGTCTACTACTTATCAACCGCATAATTATACCAATGACAATGCAATTCCTTTTCTGATATGCAGGTTATCTCATCTGAAACAAGCTATACTCTCATCTGGTGACATTCAGAAGATAGGAGATACTGACCCTTGGCTGTTGTCCAGTGGGGCTTGGCAATGCACTTGGGCAGATCTCTTCCTTGATGCGGGACGGCAATGTGGGCAGCGTCGGTGTCAGGGGATGGAAGCTTGTGGGTGTTGGAGGCAATGACGACGTCGCGGGGGACGACTCGAGCTCATTCTGAAGATCATTGATCTTCTGCAGCAGCTCCTTCAGGTACTCAATCGCGTCGCCGAGAATGGAAGCCCTGTCCATCTACCAATTGCAAACACATATAATCATCTTATTGCTAAATCATCACAAGTATAATGCATCACTATAGAATTGCTTTCATATGAATGATATTAGTAGTACCAGCAAGAGGAAATGTGAAAAAGGAAACAATGTCAGTATTCAGGAACAGATAACAGATGATGCAGTGCAGTATACTAACTCATTCTCTCCCACTGTCTCAACACAAAATAAAAGGTAGTAAAAGAAAATAGAGCAACTCATTTTTTATACAACAAAATACTGAAAGATTCTCTGACTACTAAAACTAAACTAAAACACAGTTATGTAGGGCATGGCTTTTTATTGTTTTTCTGCAATCTGTCTACAAGTCTACTCGATTGACTGGAAACTGAACAGGAGGCAGCAGAGACAGGTAGTGACAGTGTGATGGACAGTAAAAATTCCCATGCAGACATCTTATGAACAGAAGTCACATTTAATTCTTGTAACCAGCAACGACTAGGACAATTGAAGTCATTCTATCTACTCCTTCCTAAAGACAATCAAAGTTCCTAACAGAACATAGAACTAGAAGCTAGAATTTCTGTAAATGAAACAAAATCCTTCCAAAGTTGGTGTATATCCACAATTTGACATGAACAATCGCAACTGAAATGCATGCCGTTGGCTATGAAAAATAGTTCATCAAACTCATATACTTGAAGTTCAGAAATTCAAATCATAAGTAGAACTTATATCATACAAGAATATTGGTAGCAATGCTAACCACAGAATTTATTTTCCCCTTTCCACTCTTCATGGCAAAGAAAACACACAAAATTCGACCAAAATTACGCATTCCCTAAAATTCGCCAGAATTAAGAACTTTTTGAGAGATTTCATGAGAATTGGGAGAGCAGGAGAAGGAATCCTGACCTTGCTGATCTTGGGCACGACGGAGCGGAGCATGTAGAGGCGGTCGTTGAGCTTCTTCCGGCGGCGGCGCTCCGCCATGAGGTTCTTGGCCGGCATCCCCTTCTTCTTCCCCTTCCCGTCGCCGGTGACCGTGCTGTTGGCGTTCGACTCCTTCTTGGCGCCGCTGTCCTCGCCGCCCCTGGCGTCCTCGGAGTCGTAGTTGAGGCCGCCCGACGCGTCGATGCTGAGGCCGTCGTCGTCGCCGTCGTCGAGCACCATGTCGGCGCCGTCGGCGGACAGCGCGCCCGCGCCCGCGCCCGCGGCGGCCTTGCGCTTCTTGTCGTCGTCGTCCTCGCCGGCGTTGCGGCGGAGCGCGCGCTTCTGGAACAGCGTCGGCTGCGCGCCCACGGGCGGGACGATATCCAGCGGCCGCAGCACCGCCGCCTTGCCGCGCCCGGAGAACGGCGCGGTGTTGCTCACGTGCGCCGAGGCGGACGCCGCCGCCGCCGCCGCCGACGAGGAGGAGGAGCTGCCCCCGGTGTTCACGGCGCCCGCGTCGAACATGTCGAACCCGGCGAGCCCGCCGAACTCCGGCATTTGGGACGCCGCGGTGCCGAACCCGCCGAACGTGCCGAGGAACCCCGCGTTCCCGACGGGGAGCAGCGCGGTGTTCGACGCGTTCCCGCCGCCAAGAAACGACACCACGTCGCCGCCGCCGCCAACGCCGCCGCAGGCGATCCCGAGGTCGAACCCGGAGACGTCGAACGGCGCGGCCGCGGCGCCCATGTTGAGCAGCGAGAACTGCTGCCCATGCCCACCACCAGACGTCCCCGCCCCAATCCCGCCATGGACGGACGACAAACCCAGCATCATGGACCCATGCGCGCCACCACCACCACCACCCGCCGCGTCGAAGTACCAGTCCTCATCGAGCAGCGGCGCCGGCGCCTGCGCCGCGCCGAACCCGGCGCCGCCCGCGGCCGCGGCCGCCAACGCCATGAGATGCTGGTCGTGGTGGTGCTGCTCCTGCCCAGGCGGCGCCGCCTGCCCGTGTTCTTGGTCGCCGCCGCCGTCGTCCTGCATCCACATGGCGCCGTGAAACCGCGGCAGCATCGCCGCGGCGGCAATGGCGGTGGGGTGGGGAAGGAGATGGCAGAGATGCAGAGGTGCAGAGAGCTCGCTGGCTATGGCGGTATTTGTATGGAGGGGAGAGCACTCTACTGCTGGCTGGCTGCCATTGCTGCAGCTGCTGGAGGAGAGAGAGAAAAAGAGGTGTGAAATTACTGGAATGCCCATGATTCCAAATTTGTCCCACAAGCCGTTTTTCCTTTTTACCTTTGGAAGGTAGCAAAAGTGTCATTTACAAAAAGGAGAAAAAAAGTGAAAAAGGGGAATGGAGGGGTAGGATATTGGAAGAGGGAGGATTTTACTATGATATAAAAAGGAGTTTTCTTTGTGCTATATTCGATAAATTTGGGAATCGACAAATCCTTTGCTGTAAATGAGCTGTATCTGCTGATTGAGTAAAGCGATAAAGGGGCATTTCTCTGTGTACACCACACAATTTGAAACCGACAAAAATCACAAAAAGAAAATATTTCATTCGAGGTGTTTTGGTCTTATCTCCTTGCGTACTTACGGTTACTTCATTTTCACGCAGGATTATTAATTTGTTACTAAGTATACCATCTTATAGAGATTTGTGATGGGTTTATTTTAATACGTGGAATGCATTTAAACGTAAAATTGAGAAAACATTGAAAATATTGTATATATATATATTGATTTTACTCCACTTAATCATGATCTCATTTAATTATACGATCATATATAAATTTTGATGATGGGTTGATTCGTTTGTAGAACAACACTTTATTGTAAAGATTTAGTTACCGTTGAAAATACTTTGTTTGTATATTTTAAGTTTACTCTATTTAGTTTTAACTATACTGTATCATAGTATAGATTTTGATGGTCCGTCGATTCGTTTGTAGAACAATGTTTTAATATAAGATTTAGTTGCCATCGAAAATATCTTATTTGTATATTTTACATTTACTCTACTTTATTATGATCTTATTTAAGTGTACCACATCATATAGATTTGGATGACATGTTGATGCATTTGTAGAAGAACGGTTTAATGAAAGATTTACTACCATTGAAATATTATATCAGTATTATATTTTACTTCTTCTCTAATTAATTGTGGTCTTATTTTGTAAAGATCGCCCTAATTGTTACAGAGTAACTATGATCAATAGTGGTAAGCAACAAAGATACTCTTGTTCATCCTCCTTTTTGTACTTTCGTCATGAAACTCTTAAAGTTACTACATATAGATGTAGACAACATCATATAAACATGTATAATTGGTCCATTGAGAATATGAAAATGACCGTTTTGAAAGATAGATGGTCGAGTAAAACATAGCTCTAGGATTAAAATGTTGGATGCAATATATATTATTGAGGATAACTTCTTCAGTCATTGACAAATCAGTTCTATTAAGATTTGCAAGATGATAGTTTCAAGTGGAGAATCAATAAACAATATTGAAGATAATTCTAGTATCATATTACTTTAGTTTTCCTAGGAACATTTAATTGCTAATACCAAATAAATTGGCACCTGGCCATTTTGTAATCTCATCACTAAAAGGAATTCCCACAAACTAAACATTAAGTTTCATACATTGTATTCATTCAGCATGTAGGAATGTACGCTATTGCAAGCAGAATGGATATTAGTATGTTACAAGTGCAAACTGGCTGAAGGAATATTGTTACCATTCCCTTGATTTGTTTTTGTTTTTTTGGGTTTTCTTTCACCATTTTTAGCTAATTGTTCCCTCATGCAAAATCTTGTACCACACAAGGTAGGGGCAGAAGAAGGCCCCTATGCACTTTAGGTACAAGATTGAGTACTGAATCAGGGTGGACCAAAGATCGAATTGCCTTTTCAAGTACCCATTTTATATATACACCTAATGTGCTTTTTTGGTTTATTTTGATGAAGTAGTACGTTGAGATTTAATACTTTGAAACCAAAAATATATATATACAATATGTGACAAACTTGGCGCCTAGCTTGACACATATATCTGATCTACTGATAAGTTCCTGTAGTGTTGAAATTTGAAAAACAACACAAGTGAAGGAGACTCAGGAAAACATTAATTCTCCATATGTGAATACATGAGGAAGAGGCCACGATCATAAGTGAGGAGAATGCCGTAGTATACTAGGGGACTTAACAATCTATGGTACTCCTTCCGTTTCATATTATAAGACTTTTTAGCATTGTCCACATTCATATATATGTTAATGAATCTAGATGTCTAGATTCATTAACATATATATGAATATGTGCAATGCTAGAAAGTCTTATAATATGAAATAGAAGAAGTACTATATATTCTTTGAAAAGTATAAGTACTAAGGCTGTGTTTAGTTCCCTTCAAACTTCTGAAAATTCCGTCACATCAAATGTTTGGGCACATGCATGGAGCATTAAATATGGACAAAAAAAAAACCAATTGCACAATTTGCTTGTAAATTGCGAGACAAATTTTTTGAGCCTAATTACACCATGATTTGACAATGTGGTGCTACAGTAAACATTTGCTAATGATGGATTAATTAGGCTTAATAGATTCATCTCGTAGTTTACAGGCGGAATCTGTAATTTGTTTTATTATTAATCTATGTTTAATACTTCAAATGTGCGTCCGTATACATCAAAATTTTTTTTGAGGAGGAACTAAACACGGCCTAACTCATTTTCAGAATTAATTGGATTATCCTTGGGGGTTGGGATGAATATAATGGACTAGTGATAATGTTGTCATATCCAACATCAATACACTCTAGGCAGGCAGAAACCATATAATTGAAATTAAGTTCAGTTTAGCTATGGTGTTTAAATTAAAGACACCAAATAACTCTAGTACATAGCATTGTTTATTAGAACTGAGCTATTGCTTCTAATAATGTTATGCTATATGATTAAATGCCACTTAAGTAGCACAAATAGCCAATGTTATGCAATATTGATTTTTTAAGGTGCACCAAGATTGTTTTGAACCATTTATTGTGCCTAGATCTGATGGCTAATATTAATCTTACCTCTCATGTGGTAAGAGTTCTTTATTATTATTTGAGGTCAATTAATGTCATTAATTATATTATAATAAGGAGTGAAGTAATGTTTCCTTATTTAAAATACTATAGATTTAGTTTTGTTAACCATATGTACTACTCCATCTGTTTCACAATGTAAGTCATTTTAGCATTTTCCATATTCATATTGATGTTAATGAATCTAGACATATATATCTATCTAGATTCATTAACATCAATTTGAATATGGAAAATACTAGAATGACTTACATTATGAAACGGAGGAAGTATTAATATTGAAACTTTAAATCAATTAATTTAAAGTTTAGAGTGTCATGACTGTAAAAAATCAATATAATCAAGTTATACATTCTTTTTAGAATTTAGAGAATAATTCATACATTTTCTTTGAGGTCAGACACCTCCAATTTAGCTTGACACACTATACAATAGAGGCTTCAAATACTATCATTTTTTTTCTCCATATTCGAACAAAACATAATTCATATTACTTTGAATATTTAGAAGTAACCATAATTTAGAATAATTAAAAAAAATCAAATAACTGTGTTTCAAACAATTTCAAATAACATGCATGCCTGCATACATCATTTAAAAGCTTGCATGCATGCATGCTGGACAAAAGTTAGTAATTAAATGGTACGCATATGTGCTAATTATGTGCTGGACAAGAGTTGAATTATTTCTGTTGAATAAAATAAAAAATAATCAATGCCTAAGATTACATCAAAGCTTTTACCTACTTAAGAGGTAAGCTGAAGCACCGAAAAAAAACTCATGTAACATGTATATCTAAAGCATTTTTCAACTTTAGTTCCCTAAATAATATCTAATAACACAAATATGACATCGCATATATAATTATATATGTGTTCGTCCGAAAAAACCATCGTATATATAGGTACCCGTGCAAAAAAGTTCTCAACCATTGTTCTGCATTTACTTTGTAGTATCATTCTTTTATCCTGATAGCCAACACCTTATTTTTGCAATTGATAAAATCCATCGAACAATGTTTGTTGCTTTGCGAAAAAACGTAACCTGGCATAGATAGATCTTGCAGGGTATATATATGATATATATCACTAGTGGAGAAAGTGTTTTTCCTCCCGGTTGGCAACCGGGAGTAGCAATCCGGGACTAAAGATACTCATCTTTAGTCCCGGGTGAAATAACCGGGACTAAAAATCTATCTTTACTCCCGGTTGGTGATAACAACCGGGATTAAAGATAGTGATGCCAGCGCTAGTACCGGCCACTGTTTTTTTTATTATTTTCTCCCAAATCGAGTTGGAACTGCACAAATCTCTTCCAAATCAACCAAATCAAGTTGCTCCCTATATCCCCAAATCAAAATCAAAGTATCATCACAAACATAGATTCACATCACAAATTCTCAAGAAACAATACATCAAGAAATACATCACAGATTATACATCACATATCCAATGAATCACAACTTCTAAAAATTCTCAGATCCATCACAAATTCTTAAGAAAAAAAAATTGAGTTGCCGCCGGCCAGCTGCCGCGCGCCACGCCGCTGCCCTCCCATCCGCGCGGCCCGCCAGCTCCAGCCGCCCTCCCATTCGCCGCCGCCCGTCCTCCCTCCGCGCGGCCCGGCGCGCCAGCCGCCGCCGCCGCCCGGACTCGGCCACCGGCTGCCCGCCCTCCGCGCGGCCCGGCGCGCCAGCCGCCGCCGCCCGCCCGCCCTCCGCGCGGCCCGGCGCGCCAACCGCCGCCGCCGCTCGGACTCGGCCGCCGCCCGCCCGCCCGCCCTCCGCGCGGCCGGCCACGCCAGCCGCCGCCGCTCGGACTTGGTCACCTAGAGAGGATGAGGCGGGGAGGGGGAGGAGAGGTGAAGGGGGAGGAAGAAGGGGATAGGAGAGGGGAGACTTCTGAGACGATGGAGATATCTAGGCTGGCTGTTAATTTAATGCAAAGAGGGGGAGAGGAAGGGGCAGGGGGATAAGATTGATGACGACGACTGTGGACTGACAGGCGCGCGGCTTGGGGTAAAGTTTAGTCCCGGTTGGTATAAACAACCGGGACTAAAAATCTATTTTTAGTCCCGGTTGTTTATACCAACC